AGGATTCCAAAACGCCTTGTAACCAGAAGGTCCTGGGTTGGAACGCCAGTGGGTGCGTACTGTTGAAGAGTCCCAAACTAGAACGAAACAGCTGTCCAGTACTCCCTACTTGTTTTCCTCTAACTAATGTAAGTTCATGATGAAATCCTGTAACCAATCAAAACCCTACAAACCAACAATTGAATATCTAATACGATTTCATTGCAGTAGCCAGAGTGATCATTGCTGGTGATGTAGTGATGAAATGAAATGATTTTCTCCCTGGCGACCATTCATTGTATCTATTAGAGTCCTACAGGTAGGCAGTTGTAAGCCTAAGTAGATAAGTGATAAAGTATTTGACCGCAACACTGGGTGACTTGGGTTGGAATCTCAGAAGGGTTATCTTTCCGTTGTCGGCATGCCTTGCCGATAAAAGTACCAGCAGTCACTAAAGATTCAATCTGGGATTCCCGTCGGCTGCTTGCAACGACTACCCAGCATTAATTCCATGTAGAAAATTCTAGATAATTTACATGAATAATTATTGAATATAATTGAATTTGAGATTTTCCCATCGATTGATTGGACCGAAGTGTTCGGTCTCAGGTTGACATGTCGGCGTCTTGTGCAGATGCTCCGACAATGTCTGTACATCCTGGATTCCACTGCTAATCACCATCCACCAACAAAATTATTGAATATATTGATGGATGGATTCAAGAAAGAGAGATTAACGGATAGTTAAAATGATTGTTGATGGAAGGAGTCATGAATGAGTATATTTCAATTGAAAAGCTGAATAGTATTAGTAATGAGATCACGAGTGTTGCTTTACCATCCCGATAAATGACGAAACATCAGTCAGTCTCTTCTGTAATGAGTGTGGAGACTAGTGACAAATTCTACTTTGCCATTAATTATCTGAATCTTGTCTGCCTAAGACAGGTGAATTAACAGCTCATAAAACGAATGACGGCGCAAAAGTTACTTCGGTAAGAACTTGAGTATTGAAGATTATTCGGTAGACCTCCTGGAAGGTGACATTTCAAATACCCATTGTAGCATTAAGAACACAATTTTCAGCGAAGAGACTCTTTTCAACGAATTTATTATCAAGCTGTACAATCGTATATATATGGTTTTATAAAGAAATTATATCCGGTGAGGGAATTAGGTCAAAGGTGTAAATACATGAAATAATAATAGTATGAAATAAATTTAAAATATTTGTGATCAGGTTCATAGTTTAAGTCAAGTGGAACAATAATTAATGTCATATATAAGATAATACATCAGGTGTATAGATTTTGGGGAGAGGCATATAATTGTAAGATTAATAGACGAATGTAAAATGTTACGTAACATGGTGTGAAATTTGATAACATAGAATTTAATATTGTAAAAATAAGGATAAAAAGTATACACATGAATAATTTTTGGTTTAAAATGTCAAGTAGATCAAGTGGAAAAGATTCAGAATGAGAGTCGTAATAATAATAATAATAATGATAATAATAATAATAATCGAAGTAATAAGGGAAAAGTACATAGAATAATAAAATAAATAAATGTCTATCCCTTTACGGCCAAGGCAGCAGTAGGGATTGTACATACTTCTTTTGTACACAAAGGTCTGGCTTAAAGTCATGAATTGCCAAGGCCTCAGCTGTCTTTAGAAGTCTGTAACGAAGAAAACGCGGGAAGTTGGCATGAATTCTGTATATGACCTTGAAATCATCGTCAGGGTTGACCGAGTGACAGGAGTCGATGAGGTGTTCTAAGATAGAGCTTCGCACACATTTCCTTTCTCCTTTGTAAAACCAAGCTGGAATATGTTCTCGTATCCGGGTGGAGAGCATTCTCTGACTACGGCCAATGTACCTTGCTCCACAAGAGCAGGTGAACTGGTAGATGCACATGGAGGCGGTCAGACGGGGGAGCTTATCTTTTACAGAGGTAGAGAACAGTTTGCGGCTCGTGAACGTCATATGTAATCTAGCTGCAGGGAACGTTTTACTTACTGATTTAGAAAGACGATTTTTCAGCATATCAGAAGCTTGATCTCCTTTGAATTCCAAGTTCACAAATAGCGTTTTCTTTGGAACTGAGTCAGTGACCAGTGACTTTAAGCCAGACCTTTGTGTACAAAAGAAGTGTGTACAATCCCTACTGCTGCCTTGGCCGTAGAGGGATAGACATTTATTTATTTTATTATTCTATGTACTTTTCCCTTATTACTTCGATTATTATTATTATTATCATTATTATTATTATTATTACGACTCTCATTCTGAATCTTTTCCACTTGATCTACTTGACATTTTAAACCAAAATTATTCATGTGTATACTTTTTATCCTTATTTTTACAATATTAAATTCTATGTTATCAAATTTCACACCATGTTACGTAACATTTTACATTCGTCTATTAATCTTACAATTATATGTCTCTCCCCAAAATCTATACACCTGATGTATTATCTTATATATGACATTAATTATTGTTCCACTTGACTTAAACTATGAACCTGATCACAAATATTTTAAATTTATTTCATACTATTATTATTTCATGTATTTACACCTTTGACCTAATTCCCTCACCGGATATAATTTCTTTATAAAACCATATATATACGATTGTACAGCTTGATAATAAATTCGTTGAAAAGAGTCTCTTCGCTGAACATTGTGTTCTTAATTTCAAATACCCCCTAACATTTAAGTTCATCTTCCATATTAATTTGTTCATTGGATATATATATATATATATATATATATATATATATATACATCACAAAGTGAAGCAGTATTGCCTACTTGGTGACGTTTCGAATACAGCTTATTATTGATCATAAGTCATATCAGTTATAACTGCATAACTTCGAGAGTTGAGTGTTCTGGTTCTCGTTATTCCTTTCCACGTGGAATTCCTGAAGAAGCAGGAACCAAAGTGATATTCAAACCCACAAACGCATTTATTAACTGTTATAACTGCAATGAATTAAGGTAAACCCCGTCGCCAATTTGTTATATAGCTGTGGGGAATTGAATGAAGACGTTTTCACCTTATTCTGTCTGCGCCTGAACTAATCTGTCTATCTGCTCGTCGTACCTTCCGACTTAGTAAAGCACGCAAATATCAAAAGACAAAGGCTGGACTGTGACTGTGTATTGAGGTGCAACAACGATAAAGAAAGCCATGGTATTTACACATTTTACAACAATATGGACAGCTAACAGCATTTGAAATAATTTATCTTAATAGCCAATAACAAAGTGCGTGAGAGATGATAATATACCATATGTGCGAGGTTGACAGTCAGTAACAAAATGTGTGGGAATGATAATATACCATATATACAAAATTAGCAGTCACTACCAAAATGCGTGAGAATGATAATATACCATATATACAAAATTAGCAGTCACTACCAAAATGCGTGAGAATGATAATATACAAAATTAGCAGTCAATACCAAAATGTGTGAGAATGATAACATACCATATATGCAAGTTTAAACAGTCAATACCAAAATATGTGGGATCCTATCACCTCGGTTAAGGTATCCTATAAAGCTTATAAAATAAAGTAATGTAGTTCACCTAGTACTCTGAAATGCCTGGTAGGTCAAACGCAGACCAAAGTAGTAGTATGGGGCCAATCAAAATAGTGTTACCCCTAAACCCAACAAAATCTGGATAATCTAACGTTAACATGTTAACAAATCCGAAAAATAGCTCAGCTATAGCATTTCATGCAGTTACACACAACTATAAAACAGGATGAACCCATTTAAATCTAATGTAAAAGGCTGGAGCGGAAACTTTATTTATCTAATTAGCTGAAAATGATCCATTGGTTATAGGATTTCATCGTGATCTGACATGGGTTAGAGAACCAACTGGGAGTACTCAACAGCTGTTCCCTCCGTCCTAGATTAGGACTCTTCATCAGTATGCACCCACTGTCGTTCCACTCCAGGACCTTCTGGTTACAAGGCTAGCGAGCTCAAGGACCATTGAGCCACTGGGATCCAATCCAATAGCTAGCCCATGAATTCCAACTTTTGCCAATCCACTCATAGCGCAACCGCTAGACAATGTCTTCGGCGAGTCCAAACCCTGGCGATGCGTGTGTACTGTGAAGAATCCCGAAATAAGACGAAACAGCTGTCCAGCACTCTCTGGTTTTTCACTGGTTCTCTAACCGACGGCAGCTCATGATGAAATCCTGTAGGCAATCAATGAAATCCTCCTACAAACCAATACTTGAAAAAATGACTGAACATCTACCGAGACATCTGGAACATTCTCCCCCCCCCCTCCCCACCTACTATGATCGGGAAGGAATAAACAGTGCCATAAAACTCAATTTTCAAAGTTATAATTAATATGATTGTGAGTAATAAATTATATTCAACACGCAACCGAGTGAACAATACTATTCCATGGTGTGATATATCCAATAAACAAACTATTGTGGGTTAGTTAATCTAATGCTGACTGGAATTCTAGTGATAGGCCATGCCTAGTGGGGTCCAGCAGGTCTGGAATGAGAACAAATACTTGCTGATGATATTCACTGGTGGTCGTACTAAAATCACGAATTGGTAGAAGTTAGAATTCATGGGATGGCCATTGAGGAGTTGAGTCCTAGTGGCTGAATGGTCTACGAGCTCGCCGCGTAACCGAAAGATACTGGGTTCGAACTCCTGGAGGTGGATACGTACTGCTGATGAGTCCCAAACTAGGAAAAAAAAGAAACGGATGTCCAGTACTGTCTGCTAGTTTTCCAATGGTTCTCTGACTGATGCTAATCCGTGATCAAAATTGAAATTAATGTGGGATTGCATGGAGGATTTAATCATGAGCTGACATCAGTTGGGATTACTTACTACCATAATGCCAGTTTTATGCATTTATTAATGAAGTCCATGTCGAAAGTGATTACAAATTCGCAAAAACATTTTCTTGAAAAATTCACATTCTTTTTTCTTTTCTTTTTTTTTTCAAGGCATTACCATATGTTGCCTTACTCATCATAATGTTATTTTTTATCTATGCTGTCATTGGAATGCAAATGTTTGGTAAAATTGCTTTAATTAATCCAGATAGCTCAATAAATCGTAATAATCATTTTCAAACATTTCCACAATCATTATTAGTATTATTTCGTTCTGCAACTGGTGAAGCATGGCAAGAGATTATGTTAAGCTGTGTTAATGGTAAGTTATTCACGCACTCTCTCTCTCTCTTTGTATTATTATTATTATATCCTTTAATTCCTAGAGGAACATCGGGCTTCATCTCCAACGTCTCCATTGCGTTTGATTCTCAGTTAACGTTTTCACCTGGCTCCAAGTCTGCCCATATGCTTTCATCTCCTCTTCACGTGACCTCCTCCAAGTCACCCTTGCACTGACGACCAACTCGCTGCTTCCCTTTCGGGTTCCACTAGAGCGATAGCTTGTCTAGTGATGTCACTTGATGGTTTCCTCAGAGTATTGCCAACCCAATCCATCTCCATTTCTTCCTGCCTATTTGTTTCACAATCGGTTCCTGTTCGGTCCCCTCCCAGAGATCCCTGTTGCTGATCTTTTCTGGCTGACCATCTGATCTTGACTAGTATTGAGCTAAGACGGCTGTTGGTGAAAGTCTGTAGTTTGTTTGAGGTGCTCTGTATGACGCGCCAAGTCTCTGATCCGTATAGTAAGTGGCACTGACTTCACATTGGAGTTGGAAATCCGGATCTTATTTTCATTTTCATGCTGAGTAGTGCTGTTGACCTCCACACAGACTTATGAGTAATGAAGGCTCATCTAGCTTTTCTGATTCTTGTCAGTTCTGCCTGTAGTTGAAACGATGCTTCCCAGGTAGGCAGGTGGTAAAGGAGGTTGGTTCTTTCAGGTTCCTACCATTTACGCTGACTGTTGTCTGCCGTTGTTGTTACTATTAGCCAGGAATTTTCGTCACCTCTGTTTTCTCCGTGTTCACCAGTAGTCCTATCTTCCCTAGTTGTTTCTATGATCAACTTGTTCCTTTTTATTTGCATATCTTCCAGTTTGTGAGAAATCAGACATATATCATCGGCGAAGTCTAGATCCTCCAAGTTGTTTTTGTGTGTGTCCATTTTATGCCTGTTTCCTCACTGCCCTCTGCTGTCTGTCGCATTATCCAATCTACTGCAATCAGGAAAATCATTGGCAATAATAAGCACCCTTGCCTCACTCCCGTCCTTACCTTCTCTTTGTACATATATATACATATATAGGGATGAGTGGTTCAGCAGTTGGATGCTCTTTAACCACGAATCATTTGACCCAGGGTTTGACTCCTGACTAGCATACAGATTTACCTCCCCTAGCTGACTGTAAGCCCAACAAAATGGGTAGGTTAGGCTTGAGGTTATCAATCTCATCCCATGAAAAATACCATTGCTACTGTAGAAACACATGTATGCATATGTTCAACAGTTAATGAACTTCTCAATCACTTGATGATTTCACACACTGAGTTCAATTCACACTCGGTTTGTGGTGAGACATACTCATATACTCTGGAAAATTGATCCTAGTTGAATATCTTATAAGATGACTTGTGGTTATTAGACACGTCCATGGAAACTAGTGTCTACTTTATCACTTAGGAAATTCTTCTTTTTCTTTATGGAGAGGAGTTACGAATATATTTGAAATCAATAATAATAATAATAAAACGTTGGGAGAACAGAAAGAAGGGCACACCTCTTATTTTTTGAACAAGTCCCGAAAAGCCTACGTCTCAAGGGAAAAAACGCCTACAATAATGCTATTACCAGGCATCTCCTTGATATGGGTTATCAGGTGGACATGGCGAAATCCCTTAAAATTATTGGTAGACAAAAAACATCAAGTCTCCTCAAACGCCCAAAACCCGATTTATGTGTTCGGAAAGAAGCAGTTATCAGTTTTTGCTTGCCCACCTGGTAACTAGATGTCATTATTCTTTCTTTCACTTGACTACGTAATCGTTGGCCTTAACCCTACTCCACTTGATATAGTGTGACTTAACTTGTCTCTTATTCTCATGTTTTGAGATGAACTCAGTATATAGTTACCCGGTATATAAGTCACTCATCATCTTACACATCTCTCGTCTTTATTACGTAACTCCTTTACCATTGTATGCATACATTTATTTTGTTGAAACTTGAACTGCCCGTGTAGATACTATGTAACCATTATTTTCTGAGCGCTGTTCACTAAGTTCGCGGAACCTCCTGTCAACTGACATCATGTAAAATTTACAAGTATTTTAAATATTTTCTGTACATAAACTTGATAATTTATTTAGCCTGTAAGTAGCTGATGAGAAGCCAACGAAATGAGTGATGGTACCATCTTATTAATCGAAAACTGTTGTTCTTGCTTTATTCAAATAAGTAACGTCAGTGATAACAGGATTTCAACTAGCTGGCTTCGAGTACAAAATCTATTTTGATGTCAGTTATCATTTTCATCTTTAATAGTGTGAAATATACCCATCAAATTCACAAGAGAAGAGGAATCCGAGAACAAAATACCATTTTTGGACGTCTTAGTCAGGCGAACAACTACAGGAGAATTAGAAACTCAAGTTTATAGGAAATCAACTCACACAGACCAAATACTGAATTACAACAGCAACAACCCAATAACACACAAAAGGAATTGCATACAAACACTATTCAAGAGGGCAAGGACTCACTGCAGCACTCCCACCTTAAGAAAAATTGAAGAAAAGTATCTCATGGACGTCTTCCAAAAGAATGGATATCCACGGAATTTCATCAAGAGACATATACCCCCAAGCCAACCTACCAAAGCAAAAGCCACCAAGGAGAACACAAAGAAAATTGCCTTACCATATATAAAAGATATCTCAGAAATCACTACAAGACTCTTCAAACCTTTAGGAGTTGACGTCGTACACAAACCAACAAAGTCGCTTCACTCAATTCTATGTCAACCAAAAGACTCAACAGCGAAAGAAGATAAAACCAACATCATCTACAAAATAAACTGTAACAACTGCGAAAAACACTACATCGGCCAAAGTGGACGTCCCCTTCGTCTTCGTATCCACGAACATAAGCTAGCCGTCAAAAGACATGATATCCACTCCCTCATTTCACTACACACAGACAACTACGGACATCAATTCGACTGGGACAACGTTCAAATATTAGACAAAGGAAATAACAAGAATGCTAGAGAATTTTTAGAAGCTTGGCATTCCAGTGGATCATCAATCAATAGACACATCGACATAGACAAAATTTATCAACCAATAAGAAAGAAACTTCACAGACAAAGGGTCAAAATTCAAGTCAAAGAAACAACCGGTTCCAATACAAGTAACCTAGAAGGTGTGAAAACACACACAAACAACCAATCACGTCCAAGGTCACCAGGAGAGATGATTAATAAACTCGTGGAGAAATCTAAAAGCTCACTTCAAATTGAAGTATGCGCTGAAGATGTCACCCAGTAAGGTGATGAAAGCTTCGCAAACTAACCATCCAGCTCAGAGAACAAAACCACATCAAAATCATCCACCTGAGCTACAAATCTTCTCTATAATATCTAAATCTTACGAGCGGGATACGCTTCTCTCTGTTCGAAAGTGGGAAGACTTCGCCAAAAGGCAAGGATCCACCAGAGAACAATTATTCTTTCTCCATGAGTGCCTTCGTCATTCAATCCTACCAAACAGTGTAAGATACAAACCACCAGTCAACTGCCCAATGGGATGGAAATTGGCCGAACAATGTGGAAGACGAATGGTCAAATTAATGATTACAGATGCACATTATCGGATCAAAAAATATCAACAAATTATAGATATCCAAAAAGCAAAATTAGAGAAAACCCTCAACCAGGAACACCTGTCAACGCTGATCACCGCAATTACACTGTCAAGTGAAAAACACAGAGAACAAAGACGAAGAGTCCTCAAAACCAAGCTAGCCAAGATTAGAAAACAACAACCAGACAATACGCCCATAGACTGCGTAGTCAACCTATCAAAACAACCACTATCAAAAATGGAACAACAACTACTACAAAAAGGATTAAACTACAACACCGGAGATGCTTCAAAAACTGATTTCTTCGCTGCCTTTGAATCATTACTCAAATCATCAAACTTGAACGAGGAAACACAGGAAGAGATACGCCAAACAATTGTACCAATGGTCAAACAGAAAAGACAACACACACAACTCAACGCTCAAGAACTAAAGGCCCTCAAAAAGCTGAAAAATAGGAAGGACATCGTCATTTTACCAGCCGACAAAGGAAGAACAACAGTAGTCATGGACAGAGAAGAATATACCAAGAAAGCTGAAGAACTACTCAAAGATGAAGATGTATATCAACAACTCCCAACAAATCCCATACAAACATTGGATAACCGCATCCAAAGGACCTTAAACAAGCTCACCAAAACTGGACAGATCACAAAACAAGACCAATGGCGAATGAAATCCAATGGACCAGTCCTACCCGATTCTACGGCAGACCCAAAATACACAAGGCAAATATCCCATTACGACCAATTGTATCACTCCCAGGAACTCCAACATATAATTTATCCAAAGAATTATACAGAAAACTAAAACACCTAACGGAATCTTGCGATCACTCCATCAACTCTGCTATCCAATTCCTAGAGAAAATCAGAGGCATCCAAATAGATGAACAAGAAATAATGGTATCATTCGACGTGACAGCATTATATACATCCATCGGACAAAACCTAGCAAAAGAAACCATGGAGCAACTACTTAGCAACGACGAACAACTGCCACAACAATCAAAAATGCAACACACAAGCTGGATGGAATGCATAAATCTATGCCTAACAACATACTTCCAATTCAACGGCCAAATATATGAACAAGTCAAAGGAACACCCATGGGATCGCCAATATCAGGTTTGATTGCAGAAGCAGTGATGCAAAGACTCGAAAATATAATTCTACCAAAGATCAAACCCAAGATTTGGATACGCTACGTCGACGACACATTTGTAATCATCAAAAGAAACGAATTAGATAAAACTCACAACTTAATAAACAACGTCTTCAACGACATCAAATTCACAAGAGAAGAGGAATCCGAGAACAAAATACCATTTTTGGACGTCTTAGTCAGGCGAACAACTACAGGAGAATTAGAAACTCAAGTTTATAGGAAATCAACTCACACAGACCAAATACTGAATTACAACAGCAACAACCCAATAACACACAAAAGGAATTGCATACAAACACTATTCAAGAGGGCAAGGACTCACTGCAGCACTCCCACCTTAAGAAAAATTGAAGAAAAGTATCTCATGGACGTCTTCCAAAAGAATGGATATCCACGGAATTTCATCAAGAGACATATACCCCCAAGCCAACCTACCAAAGCAAAAGCCACCAAGGAGAACACAAAGAAAATTGCCTTACCATATATAAAAGATATCTCAGAAATCACTACAAGACTCTTCAAACCTTTAGGAGTTGACGTCGTACACAAACCAACAAAGTCGCTTCACTCAATTCTATGTCAACCAAAAGACTCAACAGCGAAAGAAGATAAAACCAACATCATCTACAAAATAAACTGTAACAACTGCGAAAAACACTACATCGGCCAAAGTGGACGTCCCCTTCGTCTTCGTATCCACGAACATAAGCTAGCCGTCAAAAGACATGATATCCACTCCCTCATTTCACTACACACAGACAACTACGGACATCAATTCGACTGGGACAACGTTCAAATATTAGACAAAGGAAATAACAAGAATGCTAGAGAATTTTTAGAAGCTTGGCATTCCAGTGGATCATCAATCAATAGACACATCGACATAGACAAAATTTATCAACCAATAAGAAAGAAACTTCACAGACAAAGGGTCAAAATTCAAGTCAAAGAAACAACCGGTTCCAATACAAGTAACCTAGAAGGTGTGAAAACACACACAAACAACCAATCACGTCCAAGGTCACCAGGAGAGATGATTAATAAACTCGTGGAGAAATCTAAAAGCTCACTTCAAATTGAAGTATGCGCTGAAGATGTCACCCAGTAAGGTGATGAAAGCTTCGCAAACTAACCATCCAGCTCAGAGAACAAAACCACATCAAAATCATCCACCTGAGCTACAAATCTTCTCTATAATATCTATACCCATATTATGAATTAAAAGTAAATCTAATCGAAGAATATTCTTTTCAATAATTTCTCTTCAGGTTCTTACAATTATAAAATGTAATATTTGTGGTCGTTACAGTAAAGGCCAGTTATGCGGGGGATACATTTTTAACGTAGAACTACAGATTAGTAGTTATGGGGTATCAAAATAAATAGTCGTGTTTGTATGACAAACGTGCTAGTAGGCTGAAATCGATTACGAAATATTTCGGTGAAATGGGAGACAATGGTGGCGATTAATCATAATAGATTTGTAGAGTGTGGGGTAGGAAAATTGACAAGTCAGTTCAAGGTTATAAAAGGTGTCAGGTGAGTGGAGTGGCTAGTACAAAGTGGCCTGTATTAAAGAGAAGATGGTAGGACTGCAATGAGAGGTTCATAATGAAATAACGAGTATGTGAAATGAAACAAGCGGAGGCATATATTGAGAATAGAGATAATATCACTAATAATAAGTCCGGATAGTATAAATGAAAAATTCGATAGTATTGAGGGAATGTTTGCACGAAGGGCATAAATTATGACGAATAATAATAACTGTAATAATAATATTTGTAATAATAAGCAAAGTAGAGAAAAAACCAAGACGGTAAAGGGGAAGTAGCACTCTCAGTGAGAAGAAAAATCTTCAATCCAAGTTCGGCCACGGTATTATTTCGTTTGTCCCATATTGTTATTTTAATTCTCTCTCTCTTTCAATATATATGCACAACAAGTAGCTAAGCAATATTAGAACAAGGCATTAAGAAGACAAATTTCGCGAGATGATATCGTCATTTTGTAGTTTCTTTACAACCGCTTTACAACTAACATGGTTAACAATGATAAAATAAAGTTCATGAAAATTACTCAGTTAAATAAAAACAAAAGTACATACTAATGATCAATCATATTTAGATAGGTCATGTAGTCCAGGGTAGGCGAAGATTGAAGTCTATTGATTTTTGTATACACAGTTTAGGCTGTATGTGATTAATCCCCCAAAGTGCCTCCATCACCTTCAATAACCTTGAATTAGAGTTATGTGAAATGATTGTGAAACAGTCATTAATATTTATTTTGTGACCAGACATTAATAAGTGTTTTGCAATGGATGATGCTGGATTTCTATTAAGATTAATCGCGTTAGGATTTTCGATATGATTTAGTGGCCATTTTGGAACATGTTCTTTTCGACGACATTAGAACATTTTGTTAGTTCTATCTATATAGGTGTCACCGCAGCTGCAGGTGAACTTGTAGATACAGTTTGAAGTAGAGTCCACAGAATTTCGTCCTTTAATCATAGGTGGGTACAGGGATCGAAAATGTTCGGCAAGTGAGAAAAAGAGATGAGGCGGCGTAGAATGTGCGTTTGATGGCTGACCGAAGTCTTTGAGCTGTCAGCTGCATAATCTGGTCGCCCTTGAATGGTAGATTAATAAAGATGGCTTTCTTTGGTACAGAAGCTGTCTTTTCAAGATGTGGTCTATCCTTACCGTGACAATTGATGAAGTTTTCTGGATAACCATTGGCTTCAAGATTGCAATCACATGAAAATCATTCATCTAAGCTAATACGCAAACCTCCTTTATTATCTCAATTAGTCGGCGGATTCCATCATACATTTGTTTACAATAATAAGAATAATTATTATTGTTATTATTATTATTATCTATTTCTAATTTTAGATCATACTGTTAAATGTGATCGATACTCAGATACAGAAATGAAAGCAATACGTAGTTTTTTAGATGAACAATTTCCAGTTTATTATAATTTAAACGATACATCAAGTAATTCTGATATAATCATGAATGGAAAAAGTAATACGTCAAAAACACCAATTATTACTTTGTCGAATTATTCAACAAACAATGGACACACTTTTCATTCATTATCTACCACTTCTACTCCCATAACTATTACTGACAATAGAGCAGATTATAATACATGGAATATAATCGATAGTGGATTAATTCATGCCAACCACAATCAAACATCATCAACACTGCATTTATTACATTCACCTCCAACGTTAATGACACCAGATAATCCGTTAGATTTTAAAGATTGGACGTATGCATTTCCATCTGTTGAAACGATACACTCAACAGGCGAAGAATATGACTTTCCAACAGATTATATAAGTCAACAGCAGAAACATGTACGATCAGTACAGAATCAACCAACATCAACATTGTCAACAACAGCAGCATCAGGATCATCAACAGTTTCAACTCCACTGACTTCAACTTCGAATGAAATTCAATCCAATCAAATTGTTTATGAGTATTATGATGAGAGGACAATCAGTGCAAAGAAATTAGAAGAGTTAGGTTATAATGGTCCAAGAGCTACTTGTGGATCAAATTTTGCTTATCCTTATTTTATATCTTTTTATATGGTTTGTTCATTTCTGGTAAGTTTGCGTGTTCTTGTGTTTTTTTTTAAAAACTTATATGTCTGCTGTGAGATGGTCTTAGTTGGTCTTGACAGATAGACAGACAGACTACTTATTGATGTAATGTGTGTAATGAGTGACTCACACAACAAGATTTGAATCACCTTTAGTCATTGATCACAATGCGTCAAACTCAAGACTACCTCAAATATATAGGCCTCATCATCATCATCAATTAACAACCTGCTTCTTTCTCTCCATATTCAAGAATATGACTAGAGAAGACCTAGTTGGGCATCAAGTAGTGTGATGATAAGTGGTCAGCAGCGTATCATCCATTCACAATACATCAGAGGATTATTTCTAGCAAATGCAATGAACTGGTTCACTTGGTCTCGCAGCTCACGGAGTACACATCCAGATTATCGAGTATTGGTTGGAGGATTTCATCACGAGCTGACATCGGTTAGACGACCATTGCAAAACCAACTAGGAGTACTGGGCAGCTGTTTCATTCGTCCTACTCTGAAAGTCTTCAGCAGCACGCACTTCCAGTGCGGGGTTCGAACCCAGGACCTTCTGATTATAAGGCCAGCTTGTAGACCATTAAGCCACTGGGGCCCGATCCAACGGCCAGTCCATAAATTCCAACTTCTGCCAAATGATGACATGGCGCAACCATTTCGTAATGTCTTCTTCTATGAGTCACTGCCTCACCTTCAACCCGCTGCACCCTACTGATCATCCGCTTCCCACTAGAACCTCAGTTTAACTGACTGAATAGGGCCAGTCGCTTTTGAGCATCAGGTCATGAACCTGTAGAAGTTAGAAATCATGGAATAGTTACTGGATCGAATCCCAGTGGCTTAAGAGTCTACGAGGTAGCTCGCCTTGTAACAATAAGGTCCTGGGTTCGAAACCCTGTGATGGGTGTCTGTTGGTGAAGAGTCCCAGAGTAAGACGAAGGAAACAGTTGTCCAGTACTCCCAGTTGGTTTTCCAATGGTCGTCTAACTGATGTCAGCTCATGATGAGATCTAGATGAGTAGTTCTGGGGCATGAACAATGTCTCCGTATCCTCTTCAATCACCTTCATATTACTGTTATACCTTGGTATTATTATTATTATATGATCTTTATTAATTCAATGCACAATATACAAGTTGTGGTTTTTATGCGCATTGCCAAGTTATGCGTAATAAAGATTACTACAATGTCTTCATTGCGAAAGTGTTACTGTCTCCACTAACTAAAACAAGTTATGATACATCACTATAAAACTGATAATTAAAAGGGTGGAAATTAAATCTCCGCAATAAATGAGAGAAGATTTGTAGCTCAGATAGATGCTTTTGGTGCGGTTGTATTCTCTGAGATAGGTGGTTCAGTCACAAAGCTGTCAGGATCTCTATTGTCTATGATTTTTAAAGGAGCTGGTTGAATCAATCACTTCATCAGAATGACAATCTAACACTTAGAAGATCGTTAAAAAGCTTGGTAGTCAAGGTAAGGAGAGTGTCTAAACCAATTTCCTTTGGATACAGAATTTACGCTTCTTAATGAAGATTCCAGCCGCCTCAGCAATGTGTAGTAGAAAAACTCTTGAAGTAAAATTAAGATTAGTTGATATTACTGTAGATGAATTTTAAGGCCTTGTTTATATAAATTGTGGGTCAAACATCAACTTTCAGTAATAACTATCGAAGAATATTTCCAACAGCTTGTTGCCTACAGACCTTCATCAGCCAACAGCTGTCTTCGCTGGATCTATACTGAAGATCAAATGGCCGAGCCGGAAACAATCACCGACAACAAGAAACTCTGGCTGGTAACAAAGAAAACAAGAACCAATCGCCTAACAAATAAATATGCAGGAGAAAGTGGGGATGGATTGGACACTCGCTCGCTGAGGAGGCGGCTTGGTGACATCACGTGCGCATCAGGGTACTGCTCGAGTGGAACCCCAAAAGGGAGCGGTAAGTGAGACATCAGTGTGGGGGTGAAGAGGAGTTGAAAGAGTATGGAGTAACATGGATGGATGCAGGGGAAAAGTACAGCAGAAGGAAGACAGAAGTGGCAAGTGGAGATGTGCCGTTGAAGCCTTATGTTCCACTAGGAACCCAAGGGAATAATAATATTAATAGTAATAATAATAATGTGAACTTTATAAACTGTCGAAACTATCTCTAAGTTGGTTTCCTTTCTATAACCTAGGTGGAGTTTTAATTACAGATAGGCAGATTTGAGGAGAAATCATAAGCAGACGTCTCTATATTATTTCAAAACTCAAAATATACTAAATTAATCATATCCATCTTCTTCCAGACTGATACCAGTAAGATAATCATTGAAAACTAAGAATCACTGGCTTAATGTTTCGTTCTGATGTGTGATTCTTCATCAGTAACTGTAGGATGATTACTTCTTGGTTCTTAGACGAAATCATGGTCATTAGGATTTACTATGTCAGGGTAAAGCGCATGCACACATTGATGTCAGTGTTTAGCAGTAGTTTAATATATCAAAAATTGATGGGATTTATGATTCACAAATCACTTTATACCAACCTGTTGGTTGAATGAATGATCATCAGTTTGACTTTGTAACTTAAAGATTCTGGATTTTCATTATATATAGTGGAATTATTAGTGCATACTGCTGAAAAAAGCTCTTACTATAACAAGAGATCTCTTCATTGTTTAATGATTTTTGTTGATTTCCTAACTCAACATTGATTCATGTCGAAATTCACATTTAAGTTAATTAAAATCCCTGCAAAACCCTATAACGCTGATATCATTTCGTTTGATTGGCCTTAAAATATATATATATATATATATATATACAGGTTGGTTTTCCATACCCTTTGTTTATTGCAAATCTATCCTTAATCTAATGCTCACCAGTGAATAAGTACAGGACAAAGCTGCCTGGAATTCTGGTGAGAAGTCATGACTGGTGGAGTCCACAAGGTAAGTGATGTGGACAAATACTCGTTGAAGGACATAGCTCGGTAATGGGGCTATAGATCGTGAACTGACATAAGTTGGAATCGATGAGCCACTAGTTCCTATCTCAATAACCAGGTGGTCAGAGAGCTGGCCTTGTAACCTGAAGGTCCTGGTGTCTATCCATGATGACTGGGGTTAATGATGCTAACTGGTGAAAGGTCTCGAACTAAGATAAAACAACTACCCAGGACTCCTCTGTTTGCCATAGTTCTCTCTCTAACTGATATTCATACTTGATGAAACTAGAAATCCTACTTTGGTTGACTGTAATATACCTAAAGTTAAGTGATATAACCTTCCTTCAAATAAAATGGTTAACATTATTATTATTATTATCATTCTCCTGAGTGCCGAATAGGGCATCTGACCACTAATGTTTTTTTCTGTCACCGTCAGCGTGACGTTCCGATTCTTTTTCGTATCTGAATTGAGCCGAACAATCCTTGGGGCCAACATTTTGCGAGAAGTGGATACAGTGATTAACATGAAGAAAAGGGTTGTCGTTACGAAGTATGGGTGTTTCAGCATGCACAAGAATAGTGAGGTAGCAGAGAACACCACTGCTAGAAAAATTCTTAACAATCAAGTCCCTGAATTCGTCGGCTGCACAGCGGTTAGGACTGTCACAGACCATGCACATGGTCCGGGATTCTATCCTCTGCCAATGTACACCCGATATCAATAGTTGGCCTGCAAAATTTGGGCTACCGACATTACATGCTGAAAACTGCATACTTGTACCAAAAATACAGTGTGACATCAAACTGTAATCAAAATAAAATTAAAAAAATAAAATAAGCCTTCACAACATCCTACATTATCATTCTTCGATTCATGCCTAATGATAGCCTATCGTCACCCATTTATGCATACTATTGATTGACATTTAACAAAGTAGTGACAATAAGTGTACATATATCCTTGTTTTGTTTTTAATCTTCCGCCATGAATTAGATTATCAACTTATTTGTTGCTGTGATCATGGATAATTTTGATTATCTAACACGTGATTGGTCAATATTGGGACCGCATCATTTAGATGAATTTATACGTTTATGGTCAGAATATGATCCTGAAGCAAAGTGAGTAATAAGTTATATTCGTTGTATGATTACATAATAGTGCTTTTGCTGTCCAATATATATATATATATATATATATGTAGTTGAGTTTTAAGGCGGAGACTAAGTTATTCCGTCACACTCCATACTCTATAACAATGAACATGCGTGTGTCTGTGTGGTTACCAATACACAGGGAAGAGTAATAGCGCCCTGAACTTGACCGTAGCGGAACAAATCAATCGTGAATCCTCAATAAACACAACATTGCAGATTGCCAACTTCGTCTGTGATGAAATACCTAATTGATATGAATCAATGGTTCAATTCAATGGTTCTCTAACTGATATCAATCCATGATCAACTCGTAAAAACATAACCAATCCTTACAAACCCAACTATATCAGATTAATCTAATGCTTGCTAGTGAGTTTCCTGGAGTCAGTTCTAGTGAGAAGTCATGACCAGTGAGGTCCATCCAGATATCACATGTGAGGATGGATGTCCCACCGACGACAATGATTGGGTTCGCGCTAAATCACGAATCAGTAGAAGTAAGAATTCATGCACTTACCATTGAATCGGGTCCCAGTGGCTTAATGGTAAACGAGCTTGCTGGCCTTGTAACCGAAAGGTCCTGGGTTCGCCTTGGTGGTGGGTGCGTACTTTCGATGATTCACAAACCAGGATGAAACAGCTGACTGTCCAGTACTCCATTGCTGGTTTTCAATGGTTCTCTTACTGATATTAATCCGTGATCAACTCGTAAAAATAAAACTAATCCTTACAAACCAAACTATAGCAAATCATAAAATTGACAACAAAAAAACGGCTTTCAGGGCAATCTATGCTTTCCTTCAAAATTGAGCCCCTACACGTCATGTGTATGTGTGTGTATTCAAAAAGAATTTATTATTACCCTTAAACTACCATGGTAATTCCCGTCTAATTAAATTCGCTACTACGTGGTGCCATCGACAATTATACATCTCATACAACAGTTATACGACAATGCTGCATGCCAAGTAATCCACAACGGGAAATTTACGGAATCTTTCGAAGTTAAAGACGGGAGTAAGACAAGGCTGTCTACTATCGCCAATGATCTTCCTGATTGCAGGAGATTGGATAATGCGACAGACAACGGGCAACGAGGAAACAGGTATAAAATGGACCCACAAAAATATTCGGAGGATCTAGACTTCGCCGATGATGACGTATGTCTGATTTCCCACAAACTGGAAGATATGCAAGTGAAAAGCAACAAGTTGGCGATAGAAGAAGCATCAAAGATAGGACTTCAAGTGAACACAGATAAAACAGAGGTGATGAAGATTCCTGGCCAATAGCAACTGCAACGAAAACAACAGACAGCAATCAGCCAGCGTAAATGGGAGGAAACTGAAAGAAACAACCTCCTTTACCAACCCACCTAGGAAGCATCGTTTCAGCTACAGGCGAAACTGACGAGGATATCGAAGCCAGAATCGGACAAGCAAGACAAGCTTTCATTAATCTCAAGTCTGTGTGGATCCGGATTTTCAAATCCAATGTGAAGTCAGTGCTACTTTCTATACGGATCAGGACTTGGTGCGTCATGAAGAGCACCTCGAACAAACTACAGACCTCCATCGACATCTAGCTGTCTTCGCTAAATACTCAAGATCAGATGGCCGGCCAGAAAAGATCGGTTACAGGGATCTCTGGCAATGAGCGAACCAACCTAACAGGAATCGATTGTGCAAGAAATCTGCGGGAAGAAAAGGAGGAGGTAGACTGGCCATACTCTGAGGAAACCATCAAGTGACATCACTAGACAAGCCATTGCTCGAGTGGAACCCGAAAGGGAAGCAGCGAGTTGGTTGTCAGTGCAAGGGTGACTTGGAGGAGGTCATGTGAATAGGAGATGAAAGCATGTGTACAGACCTGGAGCCAGGTGAAAACGTTAGCAAAGAACTAAACGCAATGGAGACGTTGGAGCTGAAGCCTATGTTCCTCTAGGAATTAAAGGAAATAAAAACAGTAATAAGGAGATCGTTGGTTGACTTCACGAGATGGGGTTCGATTGGCATTTGAATGGGAAACAGTAGGTCAGACAGGCGTCCAAGGAAGACACAGAGAAGATCCTTTAAAGAGAAGAGGCAATCGTATGGGCTATCCTGGAGTTGTCTGAAAGAGACCATATAGAAATGAAGATGTTGTCCCACGGTCTGTATGTACCACTTGGAACTAAATAGAACAATAATAATAATATGAATTACTTTCCAATTATACCACTGTCGTAGTTATGATAATAAGCGAATAAATGAATAAAGGAGAAATTAAAAATGGAAAACTATGGTGAGTTAGTCTGCCTAGCGAACTTGAATTCCAACTCGCCAGTAATCCTATATCTAGTTTCTAGTAACAAGAGACTATGGGAACAAACTAACCTAGAACCTATAATTCAAGAAATATGTAGACGAAAATGAAGACAGATTTGGCATACGCTGAGGAGGCTATCGAATGACATAGCACGCCAGACTCTCGAGTGGAAAATGGAGAGTGGGTCGTCCAAGGGTGACATGGAGGAGGTCGTATAGAGATGTGGAGATTAGAGATTATGGGCAATCATGGACCCATCTGAATAGGTGAACATAAAATAGAACAAAGTGGAAGTGTGTTGCTGAAGCCTTATGTTCCATTTGGAACCCAAGTAATCCTGCATCAAAAGAGTATGAATGTTTGATGAAGCTAATTCTTTATATATGTCATAGATATAAGACAGAAACACAACGATGACACAACTGTTTTAATTAATTTATATTTCGATGACAAACCTTCATACAATCATTGATATATCTCTTTTTTTAAAAAAAAACTTTTCTAGAGGAAGAATTAAACATCTTGATGTTGTCACTCTTCTACGCAAAATATCACCTCCATTAGGATTCGGTAAATTATGCCCTCATCGAACTGCGTGTGTGGTAAGTCTGTTTGAATGGATGCAATATCTTATTTATAATATTTAAGGGTAATTATAGTAAGATGTATGAGAATAGCATTCATTTTCCCCCTTAATACTGACTTTTCTGATATATATAGAAAAATTAACAGAAGTCCTTCTATTATTATTATATTATTATTGCCCCATTAGGTACCTAGTGGAACATAGGGCTTTAGTTGCACGTCTCCATTTGCCACTTCTGTCTTCCTTCGGCTGTACTTCTCACCTACATGTATGTTACTCCATACTGCTTCAACTCCTCGTCACACGATCTCCTCCATGTCACCCACCCTTGCACTGACATCCCACTCGCCACTTCCCTTTCGGTCTGGTTCCACTCGACCAATTGCCTGACGCGCGCGCGATGTCACCCAGTGGCCTCCTCAGCGAGTGTCCAATCCATTCATCTCCACTTTCTCCTCCATATTTGTTGGTTGGCGATCGGTTCTTGTTTTGTTTGTTTGTTCCCAGCCATAGTTTCTTGTTGTCGGTGATTCTTTCCGGCCCGCCCGGCCATCTGATCTTCAGTATAGATCCAGCAAAGAGAGTTGTTGGTTGACGAAGGTCTGCATGCAACAGGTTGTTGGTTGGAAATATTCTTTGTGACCCGCCCGCCAAGTTTCTGTCTGATCCGTATAGAAGAACTAACTTGACGTGTTTGTATTGAAAATCCGACTGAATTTTGTTGTTGATACTGACTGAGTGACGAAGAATTTTGCGGATTGGTTTCAGTTGGTTGATGATGTTGATGTGTTTCTCGCCTTTCCGATTCCCGATTCTCGATTTGACATCCTCGTCCGTTCCGACTTCCTGTAGTTGAGACAATGCTCAATGCTATATAAGTGAAGTGAATGAAGTAACCTCTTTCAAATCCCTCCCGTTGATGGTGATTGACGCTGGATGTTTCTGCTGTTTCTGTTGTTGTTGGTTGGTTGGTTATTTTCATAACCTCTGTCTGGCTCACCTATGTTCACCTGGAGTCCTATCTTCGCCGGCTGCTTCTTCGACCTATTTGTCGGTCGGTTTTCGCTTGTAAGTCTTCGATTTTGTGTGACATCAAACATAAATCATTCACGCGCGAAATCCAGGTCTTCTAGGTTCTTCACGTCGGTGCAGGATATCCCTGTCTTCTCGTTTCCCACTGTCTGATGCATAATCCAGTCCTTCTATGATTGACAGCATTTTGATTCAAAACGCCGAAAATATCCAATCAGTCATTAGGAATATAAAAGACAATTCAGGGAAGAAAATTTGATTTGTTGACAAAATCATCTTCAGAGGTGGTACAATCTTATTTACATTCACCAGAAGTGTATAGTAGTGCATTATTGAGTAACCTCGGGGTGAGGGTTAACATAACTGGTACAATTACTCAGAAATTTGATAGGGTCAAAATTGTTACTGAGTGAGAATAAAGGTGGTAGTTGAGTATCCATTTAACAAGTGCGAAGAGGGTAAGAAAATGTTCAAAAGGAACTTATGAGAAAGCGATAATAGTGGATTAATTATTCAAAATTAAACTGCTGGCTTGGGCCATTCCAACGTGTGTTTATAAATTCACCTGCTCCTGTGAGGCTACTTTTATTGATCGCACAAAGCGCAAACTTCCAAAACGCATATGTGAATATTATCCAGCATGGTTGGCAAGAGGATAATGCAAGTGCTTGGTGAACTCAGACCGTTCAGCTTCATCAGAGTCATCTTTCAAGATTATCCACAAGGCGAGATTGCATGGTACAGAGGAGCGTTAGGCTTTTGTATTTGTGTATGGCGGAGGCACTGGCGATTTGCCAGTACAACCCTGAACTCTGTATACAGAAAACGTCTGTCCACTATCGTATTTTACCATGCATGGTCTTAACCTCTTCATTGTTTGTCCCTTTTGATTCTATAATTTTAATGAGTGGTTCGCTTTTATTTCTAATAATTAATTCATGATCCTTACTCTCACATGTTCCTTTTTGTACATTTTACAAATAGACGCTCAACGACCTTTTCTTTCATTCAATGACAATTTTAACCCTGTCAAAGGTCTATTCCTTCCTTCCTTCCTTCCTTCCTCTGTGCCACTGAGTATTACGTAACTGTTTGATTTTATTTTTCAAGCCACTTCTGAATAATCGTATCAGTTATTTCAACCATCTCCCCACACCCCCACACCCGTGTTACTCAGTAATGGACTACTATACGTTTCTGGTGAAGATAAATAAGATTGTACCGCTTGTGAAGCTGGATTTGTCGATCAAACAAATATTCTTCACTGAACTATCTTTTATTTTCTTCAGGATAATTGAGTTCAAAGATCATTTATCGTATAGTGAAGTTACGACGGTGTACGCCAAAATTGATCACCCTACAGTGTTTCTGATAAGTTAGTCTGGTCATCAAAGATTGGTTTTACAACGCTTTGATGTAATTAGTCTAATTCTACGCCTGTGAAACTTAGTCTCTATGACAGAGCGTTAGTTGTAGAGTATGATATCACCAAATTACTACTTCTAAGAATCGAGGGCGTTCACTTCAACAGGATGGAGATAGTCTTTCATCTTGAGGGACTAGATTCCATCGCTGGGATACTTGTTATCGATTTCATTTTAATCGCCTGCTCACTGTTCAGTGATTGCTAATCCTGGAACTCAATAGAAACTATAGTGGGTGGTTAATATATGAAATAACGCCAGTGATGAGCGATTTTCTTTTCTTTTGAGCTTTACGAATATTAATATAACTGTACCGTGAATGACACAGAAATGTGTGTACACATATATCGTGTGTCTCTGTTGATTTAGGTGATTGTATCCCCTTTGTATGCCAAATAAATTTCTGCAACAAAATATTATTCATGAGGTTATTAGCTTTAACGTGTGTATCAACAGAATACAGGAGGAGCGTTTCAGCCTAATTTAGACTCATTAGTATCCCACAAAAAACGTGAGCCCTTCATGCAACTTCCCAAACATGAAAACGTTAGTGTATGGTTAGCTATTCAGCGACTGGTATGCTATACATGACTAAGATGTCTCTGACTGTAGCACTGGGTGACTTGGGTTTGAATCCCAGCGGGAACATTACTGTAGATACGCCTTTCTAATCGGGAAGTGCCAAAAGGTACGAGACCTAGGTCTAGTTCTTCAGGTCGATCAGCCGCCCCCCCCCCAATTATCTGACAGTAACTGAGAGTGCATCTCAGGGACAAGACATCTAGCATGTTGGTCCCATTGCAAACTTGACTGGTAGAATTCAGTCTGCACCCAATGTGAGGCTAAATGCATAACACTAGTTACTAACTACTAGTGTCCGATAAAAATATTGAAAAGTTCTTGTTAAACTGACAGTTTTGTAAATTATCAGTCCATCGTCCAAGCATCGTACATGCTGCATTAATTGGGATGGGTAAAATCAATCACCAGGACGTTTGAAACACAATGGTAACTTAAATAATTTTTTTATAATATATCATTCTTTTTGACCAGAAAATATCCACACATATTTTGGTTTACAGCAAATAAGATTGATTTCAGCCTTGATCACGAGAGAACCATTGAAAACTGAAGATTACTGGACAACTGTTTCAGCCCAGTGTAAGACTCTTCATCGATGTGTATCCATAATTTCATCCAGTAGGCATTGAACCCAAGATTTCCTGGTTGTAAAGATATTTAGCTCATCTGCTAATGAATCATTAAGACGGAACTGAATGGCTCATTAATTCTAACTTCTAAAATAATATAAAAGATTTGTAACTCAGGTGGATGATTTGCAATTAATATGAGCAAATAAAGGGAACACCAATGGGATCGCCCACATCAGGATTAATAGCTGAAGCCGTTATGCAAAGATTAGAATTAATAGCTCTACCTATAATTCAACCGAAAATCTGGGTACGTTACGTTAATGATACATTTGTAATAATTAAGAGAAATGATTTAGAATATACCCATAAATTAATAAATAACATACTTGAAGACATCAAATTCACCACAAGAGAAGAAGAATTAGATAAGAAAATCCCATTTTTAGATGCCTTAATCAGGAGAACCAACACAGGAAATTTAGAAACACAACACACACAGATCAAATACTCAAGTATACTAGCAACAATCCAATTATTCACAAAAGAAACTGTGTGCAGACATTGTTTGGAAGAGTTCAGACATATTGTAGCACACCCCAGAGTTGAAAAGAATGGAAGAAAAATACTTACAAACGGTCTTCAAGAAAAATGGTTATCCAAAATATTTCATCAAAAAGTGTTTAAAGTCGAATCAAAGCACCAACAAAGAACCGTCACCAAAGACCAAAAAGAAATTCATCCTACCATACATGAGAAATATCTCTGAAATAACAGCTAGAATATTGAAACCGCTTGATATAGATGTAGCACACAAACCAGTCAAATCGCTTAATTCAATATTATGCAAACCAAAAGACTCATCCAACAGAAAAAGGAGATAAAATTAACACCATTTACAAAATAAATTGTATGAACTGTAACAGACATTACATCGGTCAACAAAGTGGGCGTCCCCTTCGAATTAGAATCCAAGAACACAAATCAACCGTGAAAAGACACGATATATACTCTTTAGTATCAATACATACAGACAATTATGGCCATCAATTTGATAACTGGGATAATGTCGAAATCTTAGACAGAGGAAACAGCAAAAGTGCAGTCAGGGAATTCCTAGAAGCCTGGTACTCAAACGAATATGTGATTAACAAACACGTTAATATAGACGAAATATATCAACTAATAAAAAGTAAATCAGGTGATCAGAAAGTTTAAAATCCCAATCAATAGAAAACGGTCAATACATATGTAAAGATGGTTACTGGGAGACGCAATTATATCACCACTCATGAAGAAATTTAAATCATTTCACTTTATCCTAAATACTGCGCTGAAGATGTCGTCCAGAAGGGGGACGATGAAAGCTCCGCAACTAAACCAACCAGCTCAGAGAACACTATTAACTG